CCTTTACCCTTATTGCTTCTTCCCTCCCTTCTATCCCCCCTCCCTTTTCTTTCCCTTTTCCCCTCCTACTGACTATAGTACAAATTAGATTTCTATACCTAACTGATTATGTTATTCCCTTCTTGAGCCAAATCTGATGAGAGTAAGGTTCAAACAATGCTCATCCCCCTCCCTTCTTTACCTCTGCTCTAGTAGGTTTTTGTGTCTTTTCCTGTAATGTAATTTACCCTTGTCTGCCTCCTCCTTTCTCAGTACCTTTTCTTAGCTCAGGGTAATCTACTTACTTGGATCCATTTAACCCACTAGATTAAATTTTTTTTTTCTCATTACATCAAAGTCAACTTATATCCACCCCCTTTATGTATACTCCTTTAACATGGTATAATAACAATACAGTTCTCAAGAGTTGCAAGTGTCATCTTCCCTTGTAGGGATGTAAACATTTTGCCCTTATTAACAACAAATTGTATCTTTCTGTCCCATTTACCTTTTTATGTCTCTCTTGAATCTTGTACTTGAAGATCAAATTTTTTGTTGAGCTCTGGTCTTTTTATCAGGAATGTTTTGAAGTCCCCTATTTCAATGGGGACTCCTTCCCTGAAAAATCACACTCATTTTCGCTGGGTAGTTAATCCTTGGCTGCATTCCAGGCTCCTTTGCCTTACAGAATATCATGTTGCATGCCCTACGGTCTTTTAATGTAGAGGTTGCAAGGTCCTGTGTAATCCTGACTATGGTTCCATGATATTTAAATTGTTTCTTTATGGCTGCTTGCAGTATTTTCTCTTTTATTTGGTAATTTTGGAATTTAGCTATTATATTCCTTGGCATTTTCAATTTGGGATCTCTTTCAGGTGGGGAGCGATGGATTCTCTCTATAGTTATTTTACCTTCAGGTTCTAGGACTTTAGAGCAGTTTTCCTTTATGATTTCCTGAAGGATATTGTCCAGGCTCTTTTTTTCATCATGACTTTCAGGTAGGCCTATAATTTTTAAATTGTCTCTCCTGGATCGATTTTCCAGGTCAGCTGTTGTACCTATGAGGTATTTTACATTTTCATCTATTTTTTCATTTTTTTGTTTCTGTTTGACTGATTCTTGCTCTCTTATAGAGACATTAGTTTCCATTTGTTTAATTCTAATTTGTAACATTTTGTTTTTTTCTGTTAGATTTTGTACTTTCTTCTCCAATTGGTCAATTGTATTTTTAAGGGATTTATTTTCTTCATTGTACTTTTTTTCCAATTGGCCAATTGTGTGTTTTAGGGACTTGTTTTCTTCAGTGTACTTTTTTTCCAATTGGCCGATTGTACTTTTAAAGGACTCCTCTACCTCTCTCATTTGACTTTTAAAATCCTTCTTGAGTTCTTCTAAGAAGGCTTTTTGGGCTTCAGACCAGTTCATATTTCCTTTTGATGTTGCAGATGTGGGTTTGATTACAGTGTTGTCCTCTTCAGAATTTCTGTCTTAATCTTCACTCTTCTCATAATAGGAATCTATTCTTTTTACTCATGGTGTTTCTTTATTCCCCGGCCTTTAAAGAGATTAAGCTCTCCTGCTGGGGAGCAGAGGGCACTGACCCAAGCTTCTTGTGTTGGGAGCCTAGGTCTTGGTCACTGGCTTTGTGTGCTGGGGCCTCTTATGTTGGCAATTGGAAGCTGTAGGTTTCCGCCAACTTATCTGGTGTTGGACTGGAATTAGCAAGGCTGGGACTTTCAGGTAAATCTAGGTTGCCTGCTTTTCCTTTCCTTTGGCTTTGTTTAGCTCCTTTTAGATAAATGCTGCCAGGTGTTTATCTGCCTGGGGCCCCTTGCAGTGCTGCCTCCCTTATTTCTGTTGAGGTACTGGGAGACTTCTTTGCTATAGAATGCCGAGGCACCTGGTGGTTTTCTGAGCTGGTTTCCACTAGTTACCCCACCCTCACTGAGGCACTCAGAGGTACAGCTGTTGGCATTTGCCTGCTCCACCACCTGGGCTTCAGGATCTCCTCCTGGTTGGCAATTGGAGGCTGTAGGGTTCTGACAGTTTACCTGGTGTTGGGCTGGAATCAACAAGGCTGGAACTTTTTGGCACCTCTAGGTTGCTTTCTTCAGCTCCTTTCAGATGAATGCTGCAGGGTGCTTATCCACCTGGGGCCCTTTGTAGTGCTGCTTCCCTTATTTTTGCTGAGGCACTGGGAGACCCGTTTGCTGTACAATGCCAAGGCACCAGAATCTCCTCCTGGTGTGCTAAAGTGGGTCTTTGCACTAGCTGGCTGGGTGACTCCTGCTTCGTACTGCTCCCCTTCCCCAAGGGTAAGAGGTGCCTTTCTGGTTAATCCCTCTAGCTACCTGGGCTACTGCACTGCTGTACCCTGTCTTTCTTCTGGTTTAGCTATTCCAGGGTTTTTTCTGGGGTGATATTTTCTGGGTTTTCAGAGGTTGATAGGGGAGGGTGAGAGTGACTACCTTTTTACTCTGCCATCTTGGCTCCTGGAAGTGGAAGTCTTCTGCTGTTTTTCTTAAAAACTAATTTCTTTCTTTGAATACCCTCTTCATAATTTCCCTTTCCCTTATTCCCTTTCCTTTCTGTTTCTTTGTTGAATGAAGAGTATTCCTGTGCCCAGCTTAGTGTGTGTGTGCTTCCTTTGATCAATTCAGAAGAGAGTAAAGTTCAGGCGCCATCCACTCTCCCCCAAACCTTCCTCTTTGGTTGTATATACTTCTAATTGTGTACCACAGTTACATGAGATACTTTCCCCTGTTCTTCCTCTCCCTCTCCCCCTTCCTCTCCTGCCTTTCCATTCTTTTTTTTTTAAAAAATATCATCAAAACATAAGAGAACCGTTCCTAGGCCTTCTGTCTAATGAGACTCCCTCAATGACTCCTGGTGATGAGAGAGACCTGAGGGGATATGTATATCATCTCTCCATATTAAAATGCCAAAAATTTATCCTTATATTGACCCATGTAGTTGCTCACTCATTTTTACCTTTTTATAAAAGTTTCTCTTGACTCCTGTGCTTCTGTATCAAAGTCTTTATTCAGTTCTGGTCTTTTCATCAGGAATGCTACAAAGTCCTGTATTTCAGCAAAAGTCTATTGTTTTCCACTGTAGGATTACGCTCAGTTTTGCTGGATAAGTTATTCTCAGCTGTAAGCTTATATCTTTTGACCTATGCATCATATCATTCCAAGCTCTCTTCTCCTTTGTAGTAATCACTGATCCCAACCATGGCTTCAGAGTACTTGAAATTTTTTTTTTCTGGATGCTTTAAGTACTTTTTCAATGAACTGAAAGCTCTGGATTTTGGCTATAAATGTTCTTGGGAGTATTCTTTTGGAGGGTTCTTTCAGGGCCTGACCAGTAGATTATTTCTATTTCTACTTTGTCTTCTGGTATTAAGAAATAGGGATTGCTTTCTTTTAAGATTTCTTAAAATATGACATCTTAGGCTCTTTTTTTTGTCATGACTATGAGGCAGTCTAATGATTTGTAAATGATCTCTCCTAAATTTGTTTTCCAGCACTTTTTTGCTATGAGATATATCACATTCTCTAATTTTAAAAATTCTTTTTACTTTGTTTTAATATTCTTATTGTCTCACAGAATCATTAGCTTGCATTTAGTCCATTCTAATTTTTGAGGAGTTTGGTTTTTGGGTTTAAAGTTTTATACTTCTTGTTGCAAGCTGTTAATTCTCTGTCTAAATCTTTCTCCCCTACCTCTCATTTCTTTTCTCTTTTTCCCCCTCTAGTGTTTTTTTTTTTTTGGATTTTTAAAACCATTTTTGGCTCTTTTTATAAAACAATAACAATAACTCTTACTTCATCTTTTCCAGGAATTCTGAGCCATGATTTTCTTTGAAACTTTGTAGCTATTTTGCACTCATTCTTTTCTTCTGGGTTTGTGCCTTGAGTTTCACTGTCCCAACAATAGTTGTTGATGGTGGAATTCTTTTTTTCTTCACTTATTCTCTCACCTACTTCCTGACTTCGGACATTATATTAACCTCACGCTTTGTGAACTTCTATGAGGAATGTCTCATGTGAACTTTATTCTTTTGGGTCCTTCTGCTGCTTTCTTAGGGGTAATGAATGTTGTGTTATTGCAGGATCTCAGAGACAGCTCAAGCTGGAGAGGTGCAAGCTTTCAGAGCTCCCAAAGTAGTCTGATCTGGGGCCAAATCTGATCCTTCTTCTGTTCCAAACTCTGCAAGTTCTTAATCCTCTGGGCTTGCCTCTGGTTGGAAGTTCCAGTAGGTTGCTACTAGACTCAGCCACTATCTGCTGTCTCAAAAACTGCAGGTGCAGAGCTACATAACTATCTGTTACCCTGTAGGTATGAGATTCCTGCCCCGGTTATTCTTCTGCAGGCTTCAGATTGCCTTGGAGGCTAGAAGAGAAACACAAGTACTATTTATTCTGGAACTTGTTCCTTGCTCAATACAAAGCCTAGGACCCAGAACCACTCTTTACCTTGCAATTCCAGGTGTACATTCCCCTCCTCAGTCTGTCCTGGATCTGTGACCAACAACTGAGTAATGAATGACAGAGCTGCCAATTGGCAGCATTCCTCTTCCTGAATCCTGCACATGGGAAAGGTCTTCCTGTATGCATCTGGCACCCTTTCTTTCCCTAATGTCTATGATCTCCCCTTTTGCCTCTCTATGCTGAGCTGGGCTAGAAACGTGTCCTTGTGATTTTTTTCCCTTGGATTTCCCAATCAGGATGTGGTCTGGTTCATTTTCTAGATCTTTGTGGAGGGGTTGTGTTAGGGAACTCTCCCTGCTATTTTGTCATCTTGGCTCCCCTTTATAGGCTTTAAAATATATCCTGATCCAGACCCTTTGATAACCTCCCCAAGTAAGATCAGATATGGCAGAGAACTTGCGGCTATAATAAACATTGCTACAGCAGTGTTTGCTTTTGTTGGACCTCTCTCCACCACTCTACCCACCTGACCTGCCACTTTCCTTGCCCTTTCTCATCTGTCAATATTCTGGCTTCTAGTACTGATAATGGGTCCTCCTGCCTGAATACAACTCAAGTGGCAGATAGGCAGCTTTCTTGGGACTACTTCTAACTGTTTGTGCCTCTGGAGTTCTGTGTCTACCTTTACTGGCTGTGTGAGAGATTCTCCTACAACAAAGGTGGTTTGGGGGCCAGCATGGCCCCTCAGACAGTGTGAGGAAGGTGACATCTTGGAGACTTGACCTGTCCTTCCTGCTAGTGCTATGGGCTGAGGGAAGGAAAGGAGAGGTGAGAAGCTGTTATTTTTTTTTAATGCAGGTAGATTGGGAGAGCATTTTATAGACACTAACATAGTCCTCTCAAAAACTTCCTTGAAATGCCTGAGAAATTGTACTGCCATTTTAATTACTTTTCTGTGCCACTTAGAGTTAGACAACTGCATTGAGCTCCTGGAAGCCCTGGGTGGGACTACAGGGCTTCCAACGATGCCACTAAGAACCAAAATTGGGTCCTTACTCTTCCCCACACCCTTATTCTTACCACCAACTCTGCCCCACCAAGATTGTAACTCTCATTATATCATCAACCCTTAACTATTTATTGGAAGAAGAGGGAGGGATGTGTGTGTGTGTGTGTGTGTGTGTGTGTGTGCGCGCGCGCGCGTGTGTGTGTGTGCCCTGTGGAGCATCTCATACTACTTCTAAATCAATAACATAGGGAAAGTCAGCCGGCATATAGACTCCCTAAGGAATTGGATATGATTCATCAAGGAAATCACCCTAAAAATAAAATATATTAAGACAGGGAAAAGAATTGTGTATTTTTTCTCTTGGCTCCATGCAGGCACAGAAGGTCTTCAGTAGCCTCCCTGCCACATCCTTACTGAGAATGAAGTGTGAGAAATGCTTCTATCTCCTGGGTGATCCTGTCAGAGGGAGTCAGCCTAAAGCCCCATTTTGTGCCAGAGGGGAGTTGGACTGTCAGCTTGCTGCCAATTCCCTCAATGTTTCCCTCCTCCCCGGCATCAGCACCTGTCTTTATGACCAGCTGTCTCTCTCCTTCCCCACAAGGCCTGGTCCTGCCTGACCCAGATCAGAACCCTGTAAAACCCATCAGATTTGACAAGTTTTGACATTCCTCCTTGTACCAAGTCCTAGTTTCACTAGTCCTAGTGAAACTGATTTGTTTCCATACTCCCTGACTGTCCTCCTTTATTGTGAGCATTTCCCCTCAACTGATCTAGCTTTCTTTCCTTTCTCTCTGCTGACTCTTGTCTTGTGCTCAGTGCTTCCTGTCCTGGACTTTGGGATTCCAAACCTTACTCCATCAGTATGAAGACAACCCTTTACACTACTCATCCAGTGCATTTACTAGATTTTTAATGCGTTGTAACCTGCATGTGCCTACTATATGACTGTCCCTTGTCCTTTGGCTGAGATTTTACCCATTATTTTCTAAGTTTATTTGTATGTTTTTATTGGTGATTATTAAGCCAATTAAAAATCTCTTTTATAAGGAACAGATTTTATTTTATTTTTTGGAAAAATAGTGTTTTATTTTTCTAATTACATATAAAAACAATTTCTAGCATTCATTTAAAAAAATTTCAGTTCCAAATTTTCTCCTTCCTCCTCTCCCCTTCCTCTTCCCCAAATGGTAAGCAATTTGATACAGGTTATATATGTACAATCATGTATAGCATATTTCCATATTAGTGATGTTGTGAAAGAAGAAATAGACCTAAAGGGAAAAAAAAAAAAGAAAAAAATAAAGACAGTGAAAACAGTATGTTTCAATCTGCATTCAGACTCCATAGATCTTTCTCTGGACGTGGATAGCATTTTCCATCATGAGTCTTTTGGAATTGTCTTGGATCATCGTATTTTTGAGAAGAATAAGGTCATTCATTGTTGATCATCATACGATGTTGCTGTTACTATGTACAATGTTCTCCTGGTTCTGCTCACTTCACTTGCCTCAGGTCATGTAAGTCTTTCTAGGTTTTTCAGAAATCATCCTGCTTGTCATCTCTTACAGCACAATAATACTCCATCACCATCATATACCACAGCTTGTTTAGCCATTCCCCAATTGATGGGCATCCCTTTGATTTCCAATTCTTAGCCATCACAAAAAGAACTGCTATAAATATTTTTGAATAATTAAGTCCTTTTCCCTTTTTGGATCTCTTTGGGATATAGACCTGTCTGTCGTATTGTTAGATCAATGGGTATGCACAGTTTTATATCCCTATGGACATAGTTCCAAATTGCTATCCAGAATGGTTGGATCAATTCACAACTCCACCAACAGTGCATTAGTGTCCCAGTTTTCCACATTCCTTCCAACATCCAGCATTTTCCTTTTTTTGTCATATTAGCCTTTCTGATAGGTGTGAGGTAGAACCTCAGACTTGTTCTAATTTGAATTTCTCTGATTAATAGTGATTTAGAACATTTTTTGTATGATTATAAATAGCTTTGATTTCTTTGAAAACTGCCTATTCATGTCCTTTGACCATTTATAAATTCAGGAATGACTTGTATTTTTGTAAATTTGACTCATTTCCCTACATATTTGAGAAATTAGGCCTTTATCAGAGGCACTTTTTGCAAAATTTCCCTCCCCTTCCCCCCACCCATTTTCTGTTTTCCTTCTTATTTTGGTTGCATTGATTTTGTGTACATACTTTTTAGTTTTATGTAACCAAAATATTCTATTTTATATTTTATGATGCTCTCTGTATCTTCTTTGATCCTAAATTCTTCCCTTATCCATAAATGTGACAGATAATCTATTTCATGCTCTCTCAATTTGCTTATGGTATCACCCTTTATGTGTAAATCATGTAGCCATTTTGACCTTATCTTGGTATATGGTATGAAATGTTGGTCTATACCTAGTTTATGCCATATTGTTTTCATTTTCCCAGCAGTTTTTGTCAAATAGTGAGCTTTTGTTCCAAAAGCTTGGATCTTATCATATATTAGATTACTATGGTCATTTAGTGTAATTTGTATCTAGTCTCTTCTATTGATCCACCACTTTATTTCTTAGGCAGTACCAGATTGTTTTTCTAATTACTGCTTTGTATTACACTTTGGAATCCAGTATGGCCAGACCATTCTTTCTCATTTTTTTTTTCATTGATTCCCTTGATATCCTTAAACTTTCATTCTTCCAGATGAATTTTGATGTTAATGTGTCTAGCTGTGTAAAATAATTTTTTGATAGTTTGATTGGTATGGCACTGAATAAATTGATTAATTTAGGTGGAATTGTCATTTTGATTATATTGGCTCAGCCTACCCATGAGCAATTAATATTTTTCTAATTGTTTGGATCTGACTTTATTGTGTAAAAAGTGTTTTATTGTTGTGTTCATTTAGTACCTGGGTTTGTCTTGGCAGGTAGACTCCCAAGTCTTTCATATTGCCTATAATTTTTATAAATGGAATTTCTCTTCCTATCTCTTGCTGCTAGACTTTATTGGTAATATATAGTATTACTGATGGTTTATGTGTGTTTATTTTATATACTGCAACTTTAGTAAATTTATTAATAATTTCAAGTAGTTTCTAAATTAATTCTCTAAGATACCATCATATAATCTGCAAAGAGTGATAGTTTTGTTTCCTCATTGCCTATTCTAATTCATTTAATTTCTTTTTCACCTATTATTGGTATAGCTAACATTTCTAATACAATATTAAACAATAGAGGTGATAATGGACAACCTTGCTTTACCCTTGATTGTATTGGGAAGACTTTTAGCTTATTCCCCATTACAGACAATGCTTACTGTTGGTTTTAGACAAATATTACTTATCATTTTAAGGTAAGCTCCATTTATTTCTATGCTCTCTAATGTTTTTAATAGGAATGGGTACTGTATTTTGGTAAAGGCTGTTTTTTGCATCTATTGAGATAATCATATGATTTCTGTTGGTTTTGTTATTGATATGGTCAATTATGCTAGTAGTCTTCCTAATATTGAACCAGCCCTCCATTCCTGGTATCAATCCCAGTGTGATATATTGCTGTAATCTCCATCTAGTATTTTATTTAAAATTTTTACATCAATTTTCATTAGGGAAAGTCTATGCTTTCATTTTTCTGTTTTGGCTCTTGATGGTTTAGGTATCAGCACATATTTGTGTAATAAAAGGAATTTGGTAGGACTCTTTCTTTGCCTATTTTTCCAAGCAGTTTATATAGTATTGGGATCAATTGTCTTTAAATGTTAGATGGAATTTGCTTGTGAATCCATCTGGTTATGGTGATTTTTTTCTTAGGAGGTTTATTGATGGCTTGTTCAATTTCTTTTTCTAAGATAGGGTTATTTAAGTATTTTATTTCTTCTTCTGTTAATCTGGGTAATTCATACTTTTGTAGCTACTCACCCATTTCATTTAGATTGTCAAATTTCTTGGCATATAATTGGGCAAAATAGCTCCTAACAATTGTCTTAATTTCCTCTTTGTTGATGGGGAATTCACCTCTTTCATTTTTGATACTAGTAATTTGACTTTCTTCTTTCCTTTTTTAAATAAAATTAACCAATACTTCATCTATTTTATTGGTTTTTTCATAAAACCAGCTTCTAGTGTTATTTATTAGTTCAATGGTTTTCTTAGGTTCAATTTTATTGATTTCTCCTTTGATTTTTAGGATGTCCAATTTGGTGTTGAATTAGGATTTTTGATTTGTTTTTCTTCTAGCTTTTTCATTTGCATGCTCAGCTCACTGATCTGCCCTTTCACTATTTTATTGATATAAGTGTTTAGAGATATAAAATTTCCCACAAGTAGTGCTTTGGCTGCAATCCACAATAAGGAATAAATTTTAAAAGAAATAGGGAAAACTTCCTTGTGCTAGACAGGGTCATACTTCAGTTCAATTCAGTTCAACAGGCCTGCGTTAACCACTTACTATGTGGAAGGCACTGAGTTTAAGTCCTGGGAACAGAAAGTCAAAGAGAAAAAGCAATCTTTGCCTTAATAGAGCTTACATTCTACTGTGAGTAGGGTGGGAAATATATACAATGCTTATTCAAATAAGTGTAAAGACCTGAGTTCAAATCCAGCCTTAGATACTTAGTAGCTGTGTGACTTCAGACAAGTTACTTAACTTCTATTTTCCCTGGTTTCTTCATCTATAAAATGAGAATTATATAGCATCTTCCTCCCAGGTATTGCTCTATTCCCTCTGATTAGGCAGTAGAGGTACTATTAAATCTACTTTCAGGGGATGATCAGTGGACACTTTCCATTTCTGTTTTACCTCTTGATTCTAGAATATCAGGGCAGTTTTCCTTGATACTTTCTTGAAAGATGATGTCTTTTTTTGATCATGTCTTTCAGGTGTTCCAATAATTTTGAAATTATCTCTCCAGGATCTCTTTTTCAGATTAGTTGTTTTTCCAATGAGATATTTCACAGTGTCTTTTATTTTTTCATTCTTTGGGTTTTGTTTTATTGTTTCTTGATGTCTCATAAAGTCATTAGCTTCCATTTGCTCTCAGGGTTAAATGACTTGCCCAGGGTCACACAGCCAGTAAGTGTCAAGTGTCTGAGGCTGGATTTGAACTCAGGTCCTTCTGACTCCAAGGCCAGAGCTCTATCCACTGTGCCACCTAACTGCCCCTCCATTCTAATTTTTTAAGGAATTATTTTCTTCAGTGAGTTTTGGACCTCTTTTTCCATATGGCCAATTCTGCTTTTGAAGACATTCTCCTCTTTGGCTTTTTGGACCTTTTTTTTTTTTTTAACCATTTGACCTATTCTGTTTTTTAATGTGTTATTTTCTTCAGTATTTTTTTTGTGTCTCCTTTACCAAGCTATTGACTATTTTGTTCATGGTTTTCTTGCATTACTCTTCATTTATTGAATCATTTCCCTTCCCAATTTTCCCTCTACTTCTCTTACTTGCTTTTCAATATCCTTTTTGAGCTTTTCCATGGCCTGAGACCAATTCGTATTTTTCTAGAAAGCTTTGGATGTAGGAGCTTTGACTTTGTTGTCTTCTTCTGAGTGTATGTTTTGATCTTCCTTGTCATCATAATAACTTTCTATAGCCAGAGCTTTTTTTCCCCATTGTTTGCTAGATCTACTTTACAGTTGAGAAAAATAAAGCACAGGGATGTTAAATGATTTACCTATGTTCAAACAGCTTTAGAAGTATTAGAGCTGGAGTTTGGACCCATATCTCCTTACTCTAGGCTGAGTACTCTTTCCATTAGAACACCCTGCCTCTCTAAAGGAACTCAGAAGAGTTCAACTTAAAACTGATCATATGACTTAGAGTTGACAGCACCTTAGAAATAATCTGTCCACCCATCTCATCTATAAATAAGAAAACTGAGACCCAAATATACTAAATGACTTGCCTAAAGGCACATAGCTAATAAAGTATCAGAAGTAAGATGGAAACTCAGTTCCTCCAACTTAAACCCAGTGTTATTTTTTTCTCTCATCACAAGAAATTGCTTCTCAAGGTTTAGAAAGAAAGGGCTTTAAGCATAAATTGAGTAGACCGCCACCAGGTATGATTTCAGAGGAAAAAGGGAACTAGAAACTTATCTCTGCCTTCTCTATTTCCTTGCTGACAAAAGGAATGCTTTGGTAAGAATGCAGGTGACCTTGGGAGAGGGAACTTAGGGGCTCACATTTACAATGAGAACCATATATTTTTTTCTTTAGGCAATTGGGGTTAAGTGACTTGCCCAGGGTCACACAGTTAGCACATGTCTGAGGCCAGATTTGAACTCAAGTCCTCCTGAGAGATAGAGGGAACAGGTGAGTTGAATAGGAAGGGATGTTCTCTAAAAAATAAAATTAAAAGGTGAGAGAGGAGTGTAGTGGGAGAAGGAGAAAGGGAGAGGTAGAATAGGGTAAATTATCTCACATAAAACTGACAAGAAAAGACTTTTACATTGGAGGGGAAAGGGGGAAGGTGAGAGGGAATGAGTGAATCTTACTCTCATAGGATTTGGCCTAAGGAGGGAATAACATATTGGGTATGGGAATCTATCTTACCCTACAGGAAAATAGGGGGGAAGGGGATAAGAGAGGAGGGGATAATAGAAGGGAGGGCAGATTGGGGGAGGGGGTAATCAGAAGCAAACACTTTTGAGGAGGGACAGGGTCAAAGGAGAGAATAGGAAAAAATGGGGAGTGGGCAGGATAGGATGGAGGGAAATATAACTAGTCTTTCATCTAAATCAAATTGCTTGCCTTCTTAAAGAGGGTAGGTGGGGAGGGAGAAAGGGAGAGAATTTGGAACTCAAAGTTTTAAAAACAAATGTTAAAAACTGTTTTTACATGCAACTGAGAAATAAGATATACAGGGAAAAGGATATAGAAATCTATCCTGCCCTACAGGAAAATAGAAGGGGAAGGGGATAAGAGAATCTGGGGAGTGATAGAAAGGAGGGCAGATGGGGGAAGAGGTATTCAGAATGAATGCATGCTGTCTTGGGGTGGGAGGGGAGAGATGGGCAGAAAATTTGGAACTCAAAATCTTGGGGAAGTGAATGTTTAAAAATTAAAAATAAAAAAAAATTAATAAAAAACAATAGCAATGGAAAAAAAGAATGAGGCATACACATATAGACACAGCTAATTTCTTGATTTATTTTTCTTGCCTATATTTTTTTGTAACATGGGAGAATGGATATATGGAGGGGATTCTTCAGGAAGCGATGTATTCTTGATTTCAGAGAAACTGGATTACTCTCTGTTCCCCCATCCCATCCTGCTCTGTCCTGCCCTCATGCATTTGTATAGGCCATCTCCCATAGTTACAGGGGAGCTGCTCCCCCATCTGTACCTTTTGACATCTTTGCCTGTCCTCACCTGTGTTAACATCAGCTTCCTAATTGGGATGGCTGTCTTCAGTGTCTCCCTTCTTCAATCTATGCTCCCTATAGTTGCCACATTAATATTCCTAAAGCATAAGTGTGGCCATGTCACTGCACTGCCTTCCATTGCCTTTAGGATGATCCAAACTCTTCCGTTAGACATTTAAAAACTTTTCACAGTCTGGCTCCCATTTTCTTTCTGCACTGATTTCATTTAACTGCCCTTCACATAGTCTATGTTTGTGATCAACAGGATTACTTACTAGTCTCTGTATCTGACAGATCATCTCCCACCACTGTGCCTTTGCAGAGGGGGTCCACCATATTTGGAATGTTCTCTCTCCTCATATTTGCCTTTTAGAATGCCGAGCTTGCTGCTTGTAAAGTACCACCTCCTACAACAGACTTTTGTTGATTCTTCCCTCCTCTGCCCTACCTACCCACCAATTGTTAGTAACTGACTTGCTAACTCTGTGTCTATCCCTTGCTATGACAACCATGGCCTATTCTTTTGCCTGAATTATAATTTCCACCTTCTTGGATCTGCACAGGCCAGGAATCCACCATGCCACCAATGTGCTCTCTCTCTAGCTCTTCCTCTCAGAATCCTTATCCTCTTTCAGGACTCTGCTTAGAGTCACCTCTTCCGGCTGAAGAAAATTTATTGTCTGGGTTATGATATTCTGTTCCATGGATAGCCCATAGGGCTGATCTCTCAGCATGTAGATTTGTGGAGTTGAATGGGCTGGAGGCAGGCACCTATTGAGGAAGGCTTTACTAGGGGGAATTCAGAATCATAGAGGGAACCCAAAATCTCTGTTGACATTTGGACCCTTTGCTTTTGGAGAATAGAGGTCTGAGAATTTTGGGAAGTATCAGAGGATTATACAGAGGTCAGTATAAGCAACCCTAACTCTATTGCAAAGTTCCTTGAGTAATTGGAAAGGGAACCCAATGTTCCAGCTCACTGGACCATCCACTTAACGGCAGGCCCTCCAGGACTTTGTAAGACAGAGAGAGATGGGGAAAATATTTATTTCTTCATATCCCTCATCCTGCCTAATCTTCCTGCCCTCCTCCATCTTTTCCTCATACTTCCCCTCTTTCTCCAATACTTCCTTTTGGTTAACTCCAGGGCTACATGAGGAAATTGAAGAAGAGGACTCCCAGCCCTGGGGACAAGAGGTGACCAATGACAAAAGAATGGGGGAAACCACAGACCTCAGGGAACTGTTGGAACCCAATGGCTGGAGTAATCCCTTGCCCTTGTGTAAGGCTGGGGAGAAGCCAGTGAATAAAGGACAGCCCTTTTCTGCCCACAGCATTGAGGGTCAAGAGGATGAGGCTGCAGAGGGGCTGGACCATGCAGGTAACCCTGTTGGTGCTGGGGCTGCTCGGCCTCATGACTCCACTTGCCTGTGCCCAGGACCAGTGGTACCAGGATTGGGTGAATGAATTCATTCAGCAATACAACGCGAAGTCAGGATCAGAAAACCTGTTTCGTCTCTCAATCCTGAATCTGCAGCCTGGGGAAGTGAGTAGCATTGGGATGGCCAAGGAGGGCTCCACCTGCCAGGATTCCCTAATATGAACCTTTCACTCCAGAAAACCTTCGTCTCCTCACTGGGAGAATTTGTGGTATAGTGAAAAGAGAGGGGCAGCTAGGTGGCAGGGTGGATAGAGCGCTGGCCCTGAAAGTCAGGGAGACCTGAGTTCAAATGTACTGCTAGACACTTACTAACTGTGTGAAGTTTCCTTCATTGTGAAGTGGGGATAATAATAGCACCTACCTCTTGGAGTTGTTATGAGGATCAAATAAGATAGCAATTGTGAAACACATAGGACAGTGCTCGGCATTTAGTAACACTGTACAAATGTTTGCTATTCTTCTTATTATTATTGGAGTCAGAAGACCTGAGTTCTCATTCCAGTTCTAACACATTTTTCTGACTCTGAGCAAAGTATCTTCCATCTCTTTCATTTGCTCATCTGTAAAATGGGGATGATAATCCATGCCTGGTGCATCTCAGAGTATCCTTGTGAGGACTCCCCTGCCTTGAATTCCCTTCCCCTTCCCCCTCACTTTCCAATCCTGCTCCCACCTCAGAGGAGAGCTCAAGCTCCCCATCAGTGACCCCACGCCAGAGGGAGCTCTCTTTCTCTCTTCACGTACCCTACAGCCCTGCACAGCGTCATAGGCTGTCAAGCCGGAAGGGACCTTATATGTCACTGAGTTTCACCCCCTTTGTATACAAAGTAGGAAATCGTGGTCCAGAGAAATGAAAAGTAAATAGCAGTAAGTAACAGAACTGGGCATGAGGGAATGACCAAATGAAAGAGTGAATTAATGAAAAGGCATTTCTGAATCCAGGGCTTTCCCTATTTTAATGATTTCCTATTTATCCTGTACATAGCTTTCTTTGTATATGTTTGTTCACATGATGTCTCCCTCCCATTAGATTGTGAGCTACTTGAAGGCAGGTGCTGTCTTGTGCCTCTTTTTGGATCCCCAGTATTTAGCACAGTGCCTGGCATATAGTAGGTGCTTAAATCTTTATTGATTGATTGAATCTCTTGCAATGTCCCAGGAACAATGTTAAGCACTCAGAATACAAATAAAATTCAGGGCTTCAGACTCCAAATCCGGTATTGTTATCATTACAGGAATTCTCATGTGGCCCTGAGCAGGTTTAAACTTGCATTGTTTTTTTTTTCTTTTTGAGCATTTTTGTCTCCCAACCAGCCTGAGGACAGGGAATGGGGAAGCTGAGCACTGGGGACTCCGGAAGTCATTCAGTAAACACTGAAGGGACAAATGACTGTTCTGGATGCCCCCAGTTCTAACACTGGTAGCAGTGTGACCTTGGATGAGTCATCTACCTTTCCTAGCTCTTAGTTTCCTCATCTAGAAATTGATGGGGTCAGATGACAGAGTGTCTAAGGTCCCTTCCAGCACTAAATAGCTTGCTCATGGCCCCACAGGCCCTCAGGTGAGGCCTAGGTCTAAAAGGCTGTCCTGCCTTCCTCCCCAGAACAATGATCCTGCTGCTCCTCGACTTCTGAGCTTCACCATGAGAGAGACCGTGTGCCCCAATACTGAAAATCCCAATCCAGATGAATGTGACTTCAAGGAAAACGGGGTGAGAGTGTCGTGGGCTAGGGAGGGAGACTGACTGAATGAGTCTCTTTCTGGGGACATTGCCACCTTGGAGCAGGGAGGGTGCTGAGCTCTGCTTCCTGCTGCCCTGAGCAAAGTGATTCACCCAAGATGAGCAGCAGAAAACCCTCCCAGTGGGCTGGCTTGGGGCAAAGCTTGAGCTTGTTGTCAGTCCTGGCATGTCAGGGGCAGAGGTTGCAGACTGGCAGTCTTGAATTCTCTCTGCAACCCTTCACAGCTGGTGAAAGAATGCATTGGAGCCATTGCCCTGGATTCTCCTAAGCCCTCTGCTGATATTTCCTGTGATGGGGTAAGTGCTGAATCCTCAGAGGGGGCTGGGAGAAGAGCCCAAACCTGCAGACTCCACTAGGGGTCTATGGTGCCTTCTGTCTTGGGGGCTGCTGGGATTGATGTGCAGCTGGAGGGGCTTGGGACCAACTTTGACCATGCTGCCCTCTCCAACCTTAGCCTCAGCCCAGCCTCCCTTCACTTCTTTCAGGTTCCAGGAGGGGATATAGATACAGAGGCAGGAGCATTGCTCTACCTCATCTACCTCACTCAACCCCCAGCTCTGGAGCTAGAGGTCTCTGGCCTCAGAGTTCTAGGGGAAGAGGAAATTAGAGAAGGCTAATGGGAGAGGAAGGGCTGAGACCTGTGTTTCCAGAGAAGCAATCAGAGGATTTTGAACTGGAGGGAACCCTAGATATTATATACTCTAACTCGCCCTCCCCCACTTTACAGAGAAGGAAACTGAGGCTCAGAGAAGTGAAGTGATCTTATCCAAAATGTCATAGAGCTAGAAATTGTCCAAGTTGAAACAGGTCATCTGACTCAGTCCAGCTATCCTGTTAACCCCAAGAGCTCAGTGATGAGATGGGGCAGGGGAACTAGGGTGGGCAGGGCTTGGGGCATATAGCCAATGTCCCTGTGAGCCACTTTGAAGGGGACCTGTGAGTTCCGGTGTGGTCATGCCAGGGGCATAGTCAATGTGAACAAGTGCTCCTGGAGGGTGGAAGGTTTTAAGGAGTGGGGAAAGGATTTCTCGTTGTCCTCTACATCTCCTGGGCACAGAAACAGGAGGAGGGTGTCCTGGGAAGACTTTTCATCATTTTCAAAATGAACATGAAGAAGCCCCTGAGGCTTTAGTTTTCTGTGCTGGGCAGAGCACTGGGTTTAGAGTTGCAAGGCTGAAGATTTGGTCTTGAGTCCTGGGTCTGTCAGCTGTCAGCTGCACTACCATCTGTCTTGTTTCCTCCTTTCTAAGGGTGACGTTGCACCAGACACTGTGGAGGGCCCTCCAAGTTCTGAGTCTCATGAAGCTCTAAGTTATTCCATTCCCTGAGGGGCAGGTTTTTCTTCCGTTCTTAGCCTGACCGGCAGAGGCCCTGGACTAAGAATGTCTGTTTGTCTTCCCTCTGCAGCCTGAAAAGATCAAGAGACGTGGAATTGGGAAAATATTGGGGAGAGTCCTTCGCAATATGTTGAGGCACTTGAATATTGATTATTGTGTGAATTGTTAGACTCCAATGTGAGAATGATCCTCAGTTTCCGTTTAAGGCCCTGCATTCTGCCTTGGTCTCCTCAGATTAATAAACTCCAGTTTTACTCTCTCTGCTTACATGTTTTCTCAGACTTGCTCCTCCATTCAGCTATTTTCTGGCTGAACATTTAAGTAGTTATCATGTACTTTTAGACTGCACATAAAAAGATGAAAACAGCCACCCACAGCCTCTCCCCATAAGTTTATAATCTAGGAGGGTTGGGAGAGGGAGCAGATATGGAAACACATAGTGTAAAATGTGTCTATGTGTTGGGAACAGGCAACATCTAGACAAAATGGTCTAGGAAAACAGAGACAGAGATCACTTTCTGGTCAGGACTGTGGGGGGCCAATAGACCGGTGAAGGCTTCCTGGAAGAAGTGTTGTCTGAGCTGGACCTTGGAGGAAGAGAAGGCTTTCAGCAGGCAGACAGGAGAAGGGGTACATTCCAGGCACAGAGAACTCTCTTTGGGCAGGTCAAGAGAAAGCTATGGAACAGCTAGTAATCCAGTCTGCCAGCAACATATTTAGAGCAATAAGGGGTGTAGTTTGTAAGGTGGTGTAGGTAGTAAAGGGCCAAGAGGGTCTTAAATAACAGACCTTCTCCAGGAGTTTGTCATTTATCCTATAGACAAAAGGGTGTCCCTAAAGATTTTTTTGTCTATTTATTTTAAGCAGGGGAGTGAGAAGATATATCTTTTCATTAGGAAGATAATTTCATTCTGAAGCTGTGTCTAGGATGGAGTAGAGAAGGGAGGGATGAGACACGGGGAGCAGTCAGGAGACTATGGCAATAGGTGAAAGGTGATGAGGGCTAGCTCTAGGCTGGTGGTTATAGGAATGGAAAAGAGGGGTTGGATGGGAAAGGTGAAGTGGACAGGCTAGGGTGTAGAATTGACCAGATCTGGCAAGTGACTAAATGAGTCCCATGGAGAAGGCAGAGTGAAAGTTGACTCCATCACCCTGGGAATGAGCTCCCTGCTTAGACTCAATTTACTTTAGAGAAGTCAGTCCAGTGATTCTTGTGAGGAAGCCATCAGTATTGTATATTGGTAGATGGGAAAGGAAGACTTGTGCCTTTGAATAAGAGAGGATTTTATCAAGAAGTGAAATCAGATCCCATCTGTTATCATGTTCTACCAAAGTAATACCGCAGTAGGTCCTGGAGCCTCTCAGACTCTCATGGGTCCACACACAGTTTAAGGTGGCAAACCCCTCTTGCCCTAGTATTAACTCATAGCTAATGACTTAGAGACTCCCTCTCCCTACTCTAGACTTAAAAATAGACACATAGTCAGCAAAACACCCAAGTTTTCACACATTCCTTCATTTTCACCTCTACAGAGAGTCAAATCAAATGCCAAGGAGTCTGAACATCTACTGCCTCTTCTTCAGCAGCACCAAGGGAATGAATGCCTGTGAATGTATGGCCAGTTGTAGCCTGGCAAAAGAGCCCAGACAGAGCTGCAACTAGGATAGAGTGGTGGGGTTTTGTCTAGGGAATGGACTTTTAGAGGCATTAGTTCCTGTGGCAGTCCTCTAGCTTGGACCCCGTCCCTCATGTAGGCACAGACTATCATCAATGCTCCCAAGGGTCCCTCTGTTCTAGGACCCTTCTGAGCGTATACTCCCAGGGCACCCCTTTCTACAAGCTATCCCCTCCCCTACCCCATTGCCACACCCTCCTAGGGATTGGTGGTCTGGCTACCATCAGCTATTCTTTCATAGCATGGGGCACAACTGTACCTGGGTTAGATTATCTTTTAATCTCAATTCCACCCACTCCCAACTAAATTTGTCTTGGGTTTAAGATTCCTACTTTTGATTTAGATCCTGTCACAGCCTCTAAGGCATAGTGATCTGCCTTTCAGCAAGACAGTGCCCAGATTCTATCACACACATTCAAAATGACTGGAAGACATTCCTTCTTTCTTGAATTTCTTACACTCTGACTTATCCAATGTGATTATCATATTATCAGGGAGTAAAAGCATCTGTGTGCTTTTTGACTTTTGCTTCAAATTCCTTGCTTTTGTCTTTTTTCCAGCACATAGAATAGTACTTTGCACATTGTAGATGCTTGATAAGTATTTGTTGAATTGACTAACTGCTTGTCAAACATATTATGGGAAGTTATCCTGAATTAAATGAAAGATTGAACTACATGGCCCCTAAAATCCCTTCCAGTTCTGATATTCTATTAATCATCTTGCCCTCTAGCCCATATGCAGCCTTCCTGGGCCATTGGAGCCAACACTGTTCTCCTTCTTACTAAACGCCATTGTCCTACTAGTCTTTCTTTTCAGTAAAAATAGCATTTTATAGCACT